TTTAGCAATGCTCATTTAATTATTAATCAGATGTCGGTTATCCTTGTTAAAAATATTTATTTTTTAGAAAAAATACTACGCGATTGCAACGTATTGTGGTAGTTGTCTACAGACACTCCAATGTAAGAGTCCGCTTTAGCGTAAATATCTTCGATTTATTTGTTATCGTTTTGTTTAGGTTTTTTTAAAAGGAATTTTGCTTAAATCGCTTTTTTGTAACTTTATAACTATTGCTTTTAACTACTGTAATAGTGCATTTCTTCTATAACATCATTAAAAAAATCGCAATAAAAATAATAAAGAAATAATATAAAAATACAGATAAAATTAATTAAATAATTTATTGTGACTAAGTTTGGCGTCTTAGAATAGTATGTTATATAAAATTACAATTATATTACAGATAAAAGCTCTAGTTTTAATTGATAGAAAAACTCTCTTACCCGTTTAATTGTCCGTCAAACGTATGTTACGTTAATTAGTGCTTATAAAGAATTTGGTCAATTTTTGAGTCGGAACCTTTCCATAAACTTTTATTTAGTTCGGATATTTTAATTAAAGATGAAATTATATTTTAATAAAAATATTTCACGAAATGTTTTCGTTTCTTTCGTGAAAATATAAAAACCCTACATCGAGTCCAATACCACACAATAAAAGTTTATTATCTGAACGTTAAAAGTATAGGGCTAAAGGTTTAGAATTAGAACTTGTTATTAAATTTCTAATTAATTTTTTGGTAATAAATTAGAAAATTACGATATCGATTTATTTTAATTTCTGATTTTTTATAACTTCTTTTATACTCCTGCGTAATTTCAAGAATTTTGTAGAATCGGTGATAGACAAGGGACAATAAAACGTTTTAAGTTTATTTGGTGCCTAGAATCATTTTTTTAATTTAATTAATTTAAATTCTTTAAACATCGAATATGTTTAATCAATTTAGCGTTTTTAATAACGAATATATAATAAATTGTAGCTTATGCCCCGGAACTACAGTCAGGATATCAATAAATTAATTTAATTTAAAGTTTTTAATAACAATTAAATCATCAACTATAGTAATTTATACCCTGTAACAACTGTCAGGATATTTTTTTAATAGTGGACAAGTGCGGGTTACATTAAGTAATAAGAAAGTGTCTTCCTATACAAGAGTTTTATATTTATGTCACTATGATTTACAAGGCAAAAAGTGTAAAAAATATTACAAAATTCCATTATCCTAAAAATGACAGTTATTCGATTGAATTTGCTTGGTAGACCGCCGGGTGCCGCAAGTATGATGTACTATTATTTATTCTCTGACTGTACATAGGAATTAAGCACCACAAGACCCGAAGCGGTGCGCGTTAGCCTGAAGCAGATGCAGAACATCATCAAAAAGTACGCGACTCGAAAGCATCAAGAAACAAGGGCTGACCGTAAATAATACACATGGGCAGACGCCGTTGACAGTTGTCTAATAAACTTAATACAATTGAAGTTTTATACAGGGGAATTTTCACCATAGTTGTCACACTTGAAAGATATGTGAGTAACCACGGTGGATATTATTTAGAGTTGTCAACAGGAAGATGCTGCACCACATCTCGTTATCGACACCAACGGTATAATGTGGGTAGTGGATTCTGTCACGCCGACACGACACGTCAAATCTCTAATCAATAACGTGACGAAAATAATTGTGACTTATAACAAGACATTTACTTACTATATAGATTTTTTTGGTTTTATGGTAACGATTAAAGGATTTGAATTTCACATTAATAAATAAATATAGTCTTCTCGACCATATCACTTAATATTCTTATACTTCAAATCCTGTATACCTTTTTTAATCTTTATAACTGTCAACTTAATTTTAAGATGGATAAATAAGGAAAAACTTATTTGTGTCTTTCTGCTATCGCACAAACCAAAAAACACTCAAGCAGAGAGCAGAATCCAATGTAAAACGGGATTATAATAACGTGCAAACTTGCACAGTAAAATATATGCTAATAATTTTCTCTATCATGAAAACGCAACTGCTGCAATATAAGCAAGAAATCTTATATAGGTATTCATGTCAAAAGTCATATCAAACCTCCTTTTATCGAAACGTGCTCCAAACTGCTAATGGCGCAGTCAATTAAGTTTGTCACGAATCGCTACTTCGATCTCTTTCGCCCTTTTCACGGTCATTTGAACATCCTCTGCCTTCACCAACATTAATCACAGTAAGTACTATTCATTAGGGCGATACAAAATTAATAAAGGATCTATTTTAAATCGCTGTCGTGATTATTTCTAAAGAGTGCGTATCTTAGTGGTCTAAGTTTATGAATGAGTTGAGAGGCTTTATTTAAATGGTTATTTTCAACTTCCTTTCAAAAAAAATCCGAGCAAGTAACAAGGCAATATTAAACCCTCAACTATTTTGATGATCTATATAAAGTAAAATTTATTTCAACAATATCAATACTGTCGTCTTTAAGACATTCTATAGTAAACACTTTCTTTTCACAGCCAAGAAAAAAGTGTTTTACTCGTGTATCTTGTCATGTCTCACGTATAAATGCAAACCTTGGACGTTAACTTTTTTAAAGATAAAAACTAAAAAAAAAACTTTGGTTTTTTTGAAAATATCACACTACACCAAGAAAACAAGGCAGTTGAAATTGCGATGGAGAGAACACACGACAAGGGACAGCAGGATAAAATGGACGCAATTCATAATGGTATGGCAACCTAAAACTTGTGGTATATAAACTGCAGATATAAAAATTTATAGAAAAGAATATGGTATGAGGCAACACATCATTTTTCAAGGATGAAAACGTATCTTTAGCCATTTACGGGTGACTCTGAATTGACTGTTAACTATTTTGTCACTAAGTTTTAGTAGTAGTAGCTCGCCTCGCTTTAAATGCAAAAATTGAAACCTAAATACAGTGACTGCTGATTGGTATAACAGCTTACATTGTAAAATTTGTTTCGAAAGAAACATCTTTAAATCAGAATCATTATTTTTTAACGCTAAATGCATTTGCATGTTCTGTTAAATAACCAACAGTTTGAAAACACTTCAAATACAAACGATTAACTCATTCTCCACTTAGAACACTCATCAACCACAGAATAAACTAAAAGTTATATTAATATTAGCCCCGGAAGCAGCGGTAACGCAGTTGCTTCGGCCACTTAGGGATTTAGGCCACTGAAGAATCCATAAAGAAAGATTGGACTACATAGCTTCTGCAATGGTTTCGATAGAATAAAAATATGTCAATTGTGCTCAAACATAATTTAAAAAATTAAAATATTGGGATAAAAATTCTAAGTGATTGAATTCGTTTCTTCACAGGCACACAGATTACAGAATATTGACTTTTTTCTAAAGAATAAGGCTGGTAAGTACACCGTCTACCCCGTAGACAGAGAAACCTATAGACAAATTGTCGCCTTCATTCGCATTCACACACGAAAAATATAGATTTATGCAAACGTCTTGCATAGAAATGAGACAGAGCGGTGTGATTGTTTGTCCCTTTCTCCGTGCCAGGTTTTTTTGTTTAGCAAACTACACTTTGATAAACAATTTTGACAGTTCGTAGCGATCTAAGGCGTTTACAATTTGGTTTAAGTGAGAAAAAAGTGTTTTGTAAGCTTAAGATTGGTAATTCTTGTTCAGTTCAGTACTTAGAACAATTAAAAATTTTATCTAAATATGTTTAAAAGTCATAAAGATTATTGTATAACCTAAAACTACGTCATCTTCCTTTCTCACTCTAGGCCACGCTAATCATTAGTCTATAGGTTTCTCTGTCTACGGTCTATCCGATGGTAAGTCGATGCTCTAGCCCATAGACATCTACAGCCATCCTCGTTTAAGAATCAAAATGCATATGCGCTATCACCCTGACGACTAAGTTGGAATGCCTCATTTAAAATAAAAGATTTTGCCGTTCTCTAGACTCATCATATGAAACATAACAAAATTAAGCTGGTATACTGTGAGAAACTGATCTCTCACCTGACGACGACTGAGACAACATATTCCTGCTACAACTATAACACAGCTGCTGTGGGGCTCTACTACGAGTATCGGGGCGCACGGCAGTGCCTCCGCCAAGTCGAGCGCGAAGCAACACTGCCGTACCATCCTTTACTGGAACCATTTCGCCGCATTTTCAGGCCAAATGTCCACAAAAGCGTTCTCAAAAAACTTGGCCGCTTCATTTGATGTCAAAAATCGAAGGTCTAAAGTATCTGATGAAGAACCCTCAGCTGGTCTCAGATGTATTAGAGATATGGTAATGCCCCCTTCTACCATTGGTACATAAAAATCTACTGTCATTGCAAAAATCCAGCGTAGTGGGCGAATGCCTCCCCCTTCTGCTTTTAATACGCATATAAATAAAATTAAAGGAAAACTCTTGATAACACTAGATTGGCTTTTATACTTATACTTACAAGATTACAAGAAAAAAATAGTCGAACGATTAACTTTATTCTACTCGAACATTATTCAAATTAAATAAACAAATTACACTAAAATATTAATTTCGCTCAAAATTTGGTCAAAATATAATGCATTGGATTATAAGAGTGGCGGTGATACCCGCACACGTCGCTAGATGGCGCTGACTGTATTTTAAAACGCGCTTAGTTTATTTAGTTAGATATTACTTCGTTTCGTTTAAAAATATCATTAATTTAGCTGTATTTCAGTACTAGGTAGAGGTAATACATTTGGTAGAAAGTTCATTGATAATTAATTATAATGACATTTGTCTACTAATTAAGAGTTAACGTTTTGTTTATAGTTTGTGTAGATTGAGTAGACTGAGTAATATTTTCTTTGATTTTTTTTTTAAGACAAAAGAAGTCTTAAAGATATAGGTTATTATTGTTTTAGTCTAAATATTATCGGTATTTCTGATTTGTTGTCCATATACTAAAGGTCGTTGAGTTTATTTGTGTTTGATTTCGCAAGATAATATCGTAAAAAAATGTCGATAATATTAAAAGACGACGATGAACTTAGTGGCTACCAAGTAGTTGGTATGCCCAAAGACGGGTCTTGTCTCTTCCATTCAATATCTTTCTTGGTGTATGGTAGAACTGACTCAACTTGCAGTATCAGATCTGCTATAGTTGCATACGTTGCTGAACATTGGGACGAAATGCAAGTGTACACGTGTGATGCTGATGGTGACGTATAGGTCCTTCAAAAGAGTCATTGCCAAGGCAAAGTCAGAGCACATAGGCAGAATTGGCGAGAGACTAGTTCGTCTTCCTTCTGGAACCCGTGCATTCTGGTCTCTCGCCAAGGCTGTCCAGGGGAATTTCTGTCAGCCATCTCTTCCATCTCTGCACAGGGAGGACGACTCACTGGCCCACACCGCAAAGGAGAAAGCCGATCTTCTAGGCTCTTTCTTTGCGTCTAACTCGACTCTCGATGACGGGGGGAGTACGCCGCCGACCATCCCGCGGTGTGAGTGCTCCATGCCGGAAGTGCAGTTCACTCAGCGCTCGGTTCGCAAAGCACTCCTCTCCCTGGACATCTATAAGTCGAGTGGGCCTGATGGAATCCCCCCAATTGTGCTGAGGACGTGTGCTCCAGAGTTGGCACCGGTTTTAACGCGTCTTTTCCGGTACTCCTACTCCCTAGGCGTAGTCCCAAAATCATGGAAGACGGCTTTCGTCCACCCGATCCCTAAAAAAGGCGACCGCTCAGACCCGTCCAACTACCGGCCTATCGCCATCACCTCCTTGTTCTCCAAAACAATGGAGTCCATTGTAAACTGCCAGCTCATGAGGTACCTTGAGGATCACCAGCTGATTAGTGACCGCCAATACGGTTTTCGCCGTGGTAGGTCAGCTGGTGATCTTCTGGTCTACCTAACTCACAGATGGGCGGAGGCAGTAGAGTCCAAGGGGGAGGCATTGGCCGTTAGTTTGGACATTGCGAAGGCCTTCGATCGGGTTTGGCACAAAGCGCTTCTTTCGAAGCTCCCTTCCTATGGGCTTCCCGAGAAATTGTGCGATTGGATCACCAGTTTTCTTGCAGATCGGAGCATCAAGGTCGTTGTAGACGGTGCAAGCTCCGATTGCAAGCTTATTAATGCTGGTGTTCCACAGGGCTGCGTGCTATCGCCAACGCTGTTTCTTCTGCATATCAATGATATGTTGCAAACCCGTAGCATTCATTGCTATGCAGATGACAGCACTGGTGATGCTCTTTACACCGGCCGAGCCAATATTTCTCGGGAAAACGTCTCTGAGTGCCGGGACAAACTTGTGTCTGAAGTCGAGTCTCTGCTGGACAGAGTCTCGGATTGGGGGCGACTAAATCTAGTCCAGTTTAACCCCCAGAAGACACAAGTTTGCGCGTTAACCGCTAAAAAGAACCCCTTTGTCGTATCCCCTCAGTTTCAAGGCACTCCCCTTGTTGCCTCAGCCAGTATCGGAATCCTTGGCGTCGACATATCGAGTGACGTGCAGTTTCGTGGTCACTTGGAAGGGAAGGCCAAATTGGCCTCTAAAAAGCTTGGCGTGCTCAGCAGAGCGGGACAGTATTTCATGCCGGCACACCGCCTGCAACTTTACAAGGCGCAGGTTCGGCCGCTCATGGAATACTGTTCCCATCTCTGGGCTGGGGCTCCCCAGTACCAGCTCCTTCCACTTGACCGCATCCAGCGCAGAGCGGCTCGAATCGTCGACGACCGAGTGCTTTCCGATCGGCTCGACTCACTGGCGCTGCGAAGAGATGTTGCATCTCTTTGCGTATTTTATCGCATCTATCACGTGGAGTGCTCTGAGGAATTGTTCGGATTAATCCCAGCCGCCAAATTTCGTGAACGCACTACACGGCAAACGTCCCGATACCATCCACACCATCTGGATGCTTGGCGGTCCACCACTGTACGTTTCAAAAGGAGTTTTCTTCCGCGTACAACCTCTCTGTGGAATAATTTACCACCGGTGATTTTTCCGGACCGATACGACCTGGGGACCTTCAAGAAAAGAGCTTACTCCTTTCTAAAGGGCCGGCAACGCACCTGCAATTCCCCTGGTGTTGCGGTTGATCATGGGCGGCGGTAGTCACTTAACATCAGGTGAGCCACATGCTCGTTTGCCCCCTCTTCTATAAAAAAAAAAAAAAAAAAAAAAAACGTATACACGAGCGCGCAGTCCTACAGGAGCGATATGATGAAACCCACTACTTACGGCTCAGCTTCTGAGCTTATGGCTGCTGGAAAAATCTATCCTTTCATTTTTGAAGTGTATGAGAACGGTATACTAAGAGGTTCCTTTGGCGATGCTGGCCAAAAAAAGTGTTTACGTTTTACCGGTAGTTACTTAAGCGGCCACTACGATGTACTCATTCCTATAACCATCTTCTTCCCCTTTTAATCCCATAACATTAAATTCTGTAACATCAGATACTGCTATATGTACATTATATGACTTAAACTCTACGCAAAGTTAATTGAACATGAAGCATAAGGGAAAAGGCGGTAGACCAACTAAAACTAAAAAAGGAAGACCTAAGGTATCCGAACTGTCACGATCTGAACAACTTCGAGAAGCTGCGGCTCGTTACCGACAAAAACACCCTGAAAAACGTCGAGAAACTGTAGAACTTTATAATTCTTTACATCCAGGCGCCAACCGGCCATCTGTAGCACAGTACAGTGCTTCACACCCTGAAGTAAACCGGGCAGCTGTAGCACGCTACAATGCTGCACATCCGGAAGTCAATCAGGCTGCTGTATCTCGCTACCGTGCTTTACATCCGGAAGTCAATCAGGCTGCAGTATGTCGCTACCGTGCTTCACATCCGGAAGTAAACAGACAAAACTTAGCGCGAAAGAGATCTACTGACAAACTAAAGTTTAAGGGAAACATAGAAACAATCACTAGAGTTCTTACAACTAAACTTAAAGATAGATTAGAATCAGAAAAAATAGTTAAGTGGACTCTCGATAATAGGCAAAGAACTTTAGAAGATTTGAACAAGACTGCAAATAAATTAAAAGAAAAAATAGTAGCGGCATTAGAGAAGTTGAAAATATGTCCTGAAAGCACGGATATTAAAGACAAATTTGAAGCATTTCTTGGTAAATCCGAACATCGCAGTAATCAGGAGCCATTTTATTCTGAACAATCTTATAAGGTTTATGAAGATAAAGAAAAACCTATTGAGATTGATGATTCTGGCAAAGCAAAAACCTTTACAAATGTTAAGAAAATGTCCAAAAGTCTGACTTGGTCTTGTTCGGATTCATTGTGCGTATTAAATGATGGAATCGTACTAAAATTGAATTATTTAAATTTGAAAATTTACTCGATGTCTGTAGAAACAGGAAAACTGCAAGAAAATATCAACTTTATTAATAACGTTAAATCGCATTTCCCACATCTTCGGACTATTATCAGAGAGATTTATCAAATACACAGCGACTGTAAGTTATTGCTTGATATTGACGATTCTTGGGCAAGTGGTAATGTGGATAAGCTTATGGAGCTAGGAAAGCAACCGACGGTAGGAAGTGCCATTGTAGGGCGTACACCTGATAGTGAAATCGTGGAAGATGAAATAATAAAAAGTAATAAGGTTGCTTTTAAATTATTTTCCAAAAAAAAGTGTAGACACACCGAAACTGGATTGTATGTCGTGCAATAAACTATGTTATTCTAGGGATATTAGTTCCATAGAACGATTAAGAAAGCCCATATCAACAGATGTTTGGAATCAACTCCTGAACTACTATAATTCTAGCCTAATAACTCACAGTCCGTACATTTGCCACACATGCCTTGCTAAGATTCGTCCTAAATGCCTGCTGTCTGTATCCTCAATGACATGCATGTAAGCACTGTTCCACCAGAAATAGCTCAGCTGAACGACTATGAAAACATTTTAATCCAACGCGCTAAAGCGTTTCAGGTGGTTGTCACAATGAATCCTGTGGCTAGTAAACGTCTACCCAATCGTCAGATGGTTAAAAAAGTAAAGGGCAGGACTTTTCATTTACCACTTCCGAAGGAAGAAACCCTAAAAAAACTCCCAAAACCTGAAGACGCAATAATTGAAAACCCAGAACTTTATATTATAGTCCGAAGTACGCCAAACAAAGCAAATATTATATGGCAAGATATTGTTGACGTTAATAAAGTGTACAAAGCATTACAATACTTAAAAAATTTAAACGAACATTATGCTTATATCAAATTAACAGATTTACCTAATCAGCTCATAAACATACATGAAAATATTCAACATAATGTTACAAATACACCAGATAATGCTGAAGAAGGCATTTTAGAAGATGGTACAGCAGCACTGTTGACCCAAATCACAAGAGAAAAGGAAACTGATTATGAGCATTACACCATGTATCCTTTGAATGAACGGAAACAAAATGCACCAGCTTCAGAACTCTACCAAATGCTCAAAGTAAACACAGCACCGATTGATGCCCGAGATAAAGACCTCGATGTTAAATGTTTTCCACATTTATATGTAGAAGGAAAATACGGCCAATTTCATAATCGGCAGCAGAAAGTAACTTCTAGTGAATTTAGTAAAGCCCGGCTTATGTCAAAACATCCTCAATTTAGACATAACCAACAGTATTTATTTTTATTATTGAATGATGCTAATATGTGCCAATTAAACTCCGGAATCTTTTATAAAATGAATTGTGCTAATCAGAGAGATAAAATTACGGCAGAACAGTATCTCCAAATGCTTAAAAATGATGAGCTGGAAGGTGATTTGACCGCAATATTTGGCCGACTGAGAAACACCGAACAGTTCTGGAAGAAATCAAGAAACGATGTAAACTGTATGACTCAAAATTACGGTCCAGCAACTTGGTTTCTTACCATGAGTCCCTCTGAGTGGATGTGGGAGGATTACATCAGGCAGTAAATGACGTTGAAATGGCTAATAAAACAATCAGTGAATTGGTTGCTCTTGACCCCGTATCTACCTCACGTTTTATAGATAACAAGTTTCATGCAATGTTAGACTTAATAACTAGTTCAGATGAGCCTTTAGGTAAGATTATTCATTACTTTTGGCGTCGAGAGCACCCCTTCTATTTAATGTTATGGGTCAAGGATGCACCTATTCTACATAAGTCATCTATAGACGAGGTAGCGTCATCTATTTCTAAATACGTGACATGTGCCATTCCAAAAAAAAGATATTTCTCCTACTTTACATTAACGGGTCACTTCGTATCCAATGCATAAACATAACAGTTATTGCATGAGGAGAAAGAAAACGAAAAAAAGGATTCGTTTCAGTTTGCCGTTTTGGATTTCCTCGAACTGTGACGGATTCTCTTATCATAAGAGACATTTTTCAAACTATAGCAGCAAGAAAAACTCTCAGCTCTAATAATCGTCTCTACAATATTGTCCGCTCAAAGGAGTCAGATATGATTAATGACTACAATCCCGCTTTGCTGTTGGCGTGGAATGGAAATATAGACATTCAATAGAGAGAAAACAGCCATTTTGAACTATTATGTGACCAAGTATACTACTAAAAGTGAAAAGACCCATGCAACCGACATGTTTAACGATATTAACTCTACAAAAAGTCTTAGAAGCCGGTTATATAATATTGGTCTCAGAGTATTATCGAATCGAGAATGCGGAGTTTTAGAAGCCAGCGGTACATTATTGGGAATACCACTTTACGGCACGGACCCACAAACAACAATAAGATGGTTAGACGTAAACATTCATCGTAATCGCAGGGTTAAATCGAAATCTGAAATGACTGCACTGGACCCGAATTCCACTATATACTACGATCGACATATATTACGATTCTTGGATAGACAACGTTTACCCTGCCAGACCTGACGAATTACAAGACATGAATTTATTTGACTTTTCGAAAGACTATGATTTAGTTAATACACGGCCTGTTTCAAATAAAATAGAGTATTATGTTTTAGCAAATAAAAAATACTTAAAAAAACGAGATAGACCATACCTAATTAACCATTACCTGTATGATGTAGAGCAAATGCCTGAAAAATATTTCTTTTCCTTGTTGTTATTATTTAAACCTTGGAGAATACTAGATGACCTAAAAATGCAACATGAGACATACACAGAAACATTTAATGCTGTAAAGGACGATTTACAAGAAGCGTTACGCTACGGAAATTTACGGACTGAATTACGAAATATTTTACAAACAGCTTTTGAAAAGGTAGAAGAAAAAGTAGCAGAACTAAACGAAGAAAGGAAAAACATAGTAGATGAGGGACCCGACAATCCTTTAGAGTTTGAAGCTTTGGAAGCGGTAAATGCTATGGAAGATAAAAACAACTTTGATTTAGTTGAAGCGGATATTTCTGAAATGAATGAGCAAGCAATGATAGATAAACTGAATTCTGACCAAAAAAAGTATTTGATACAGTCACTAATAAAATTAGGAACCAAAAAGAAATATTGAGACATTTTGTTAGTGGCACCGGTGGCACCGGCAAGAGTTATTTAATAAAAACCATAAAATATGGATTAAAAACAACCTGCATAAAAATGTTGCTATTACTGCCCCGACTGGAATTGCAGCATTTAACGTAAACGGATTAACTGTTCACAGATTACTACAACTGCCCGTAGAGCATAAACAAACTCCTAAATACAAACCGCTTTCAGACGAAGTACTTCAAGTTTTAAGGACAGACTTAAAAACTGTCGAATTATTTATTATAGATGAAGTGTCTATGATATCTAATGTAACTTTAGCCTACATAAATCTTCGTTAATCCGAATTGTTTGATACTTCTGATGTAGAAGATGGTTGGTTTGGAAAAAAACATATTTTAGTGCTTGCGTGTGTGCGTGTTATCTTTTGCAACTTCCGCCCGTTAGAGAAAAGTCGCCATTTGAAAAACTAACCCCTAATCAGATAAAGACTCAATCAGAAAACTTCTAGCGATTGAACCTCTGCTCTCACATTCCATTGAAGGGCTTAATGGAAATAGCACTAACGTTTGAGGGACTTACCAGAAGATACTCGTTTGTTTACTAGAAAAATTGTTAAAACGAATCTAGTGTCAGGAACGAGGGAGTGACATCACAAATCACTCCGACAGCGAAGAATAAGTTTCTGGTCTAACCGAATATACCTCGTGCCTCGCGCATTACATTGAAAGGAACGCCTTATATAAATAGGCAAGATGCGATGGCAGAGTTGAACTCGGCTCACAAGGAAGCTTGACCGGAAAAGTGAAATTAATTACTAGTGTTAACTTTTAATTTGTAAAGAAATTAAATGTTAATTTAGGTAATTTTATCCAACTTCACGAACTCAAGCAAAATATGGGTATGCAGTTAAACAATGCTATGTTAAAAGCGATTTCGCACCCCGAGATAAAGTTAGTTGCTAAAGATTCCTTGGATTGTTCAAAATGTATGATAACGAAAGCCCGAGCGTGTTTACAAAAATATGAAGATGATGCATCGATGACTGCTGGACTGGAAGAAACTATAATCATTAAAGAGGGAGCTAAAATCTTGGAGAATTGATGTTAGTTTAGGTTTAGTGAATGGGTCATTAGGCATTGTACAAAAAGTGAGGTGGGTCCCGGAAGACCAAACAAAATCTAAAAAAACTGGTAGTAAAATTCGCTAATAATTTGATTCACGAATTATTGCCTATTAAGTCAAAATTTGAGATCATAACCCGGACATACGTGTACAGGGAACAATTCCCAATCTGTGTGGCGTATGCCCTAACAATTCACAAGAGCCAAGGTCTAAGTGTAAAAAATGCCCTCATGGACATTGGCACCTCCATATTCACTTGTGGCCAAGCCTACGTGGCGCTTTCACGAGTAACCAATCTTCATGGGATGCACCTCATAAATGTTGACTTCAAGAGTATAAAAGCTCAAGCTTCAGCGATCACCGAATACAACCGACTTAGGCGTAAATACCGCGCCGATCTTTCAGATTTTAAACCGTCTAAACCGTCTAAAAGAATAAATAATGAACGCGAATGGGCAATACGAAAAACTGTTGCTACTGTACAAGAATCAGAACCGGAAAAAAAAGAAAAGAAAGATTTGTAATAACAAAAAAAAACTACTCTTAAAAAGAAAAAAAATTGTCGAATAAAAAAATCTAATAAAATAAATCAAAGTGCCCACGTTTCTACAAAAAAGAAGTGAAATCCCACCAAAAACATTCTGTAAAAAACTAGCCAAGTCTCGATGGAGCTGCTTGTTTATCTCTAAAAAGTAATGAAATCTAGACAAAGTTGTGCCAATTCTAAGGTTCCTTACTGCGATTTATTTATTATTATGGTTAATGTTGTGTGACTTGGCCGTTGACACAAGGACACAAGGGTACAAAACCAGGTGCTACATGGCACCCTTGCACCAATCTGTCGCCAGAACCGCTACCCATTGACGATGGAAAATTGCCACTTGGAAAACGTTGATTGAATAACCAGTCAATTGTAGGCTTGATAAAGTTGCGGTTACACGTAATGTTGCACGTAATTGTGTTTACACGTAATGTTATATCTGTTGTAACTACCTATGTTTGTTAAGCTAGTTAATAGCCCATACTGGTATTGGTAATTGGACGCTAGTGTCTCATTTTAGGCGGTTGTTGATTGTGCAACACATGCATTCAGCATTGACAATGCTGACTTCTGCTCTCTTCTTTTTGGAGCGTCAAATCGACCACCGATCTAACATAAAATAGACGTACAGACGGACTTCTATCAATGATTCGAAGTCCGCCTGTACTGGAAATAATTTTTTATACTGTTTGTTTCAGGCTCGCCTATACAAAAGTATTATTGAAATACGCAGCTTTATCAAGCCTACAATTGACTGGTTATTCAATCAACGTTTTCCAAGTGGCAATTTTCCATCGTCAATGGGTAGCGGTTCTGGCGACAGATTGGTGCAAGGGTGTCATGTAGCACCTGGTTTTGTACCCTTGTGTACCCTTCAACGGCCAAGTCACACAACATTAACTATAATAATAAAGAAATCGCAGTAAGGAACCTTAGACTTGGCACGACTTTGTCTAGATTTCAACTAGTGATAAACAAGCAGCCCACAGTTTTTTACAGAATGTTTTTGGGAAAACTGCAAAGTTCTAGTTCTCTGTATCAAAGTTTTAGAACAGGAGCTTACAATTTATAATTAATTATTATGTCATCCAAGCAATAATATCAAAATATACCTCATATTTAACCTCTTCCCTGATCAATGTACAACGCAAGGCTTACAGATATTATTTGTCTATAGTTTTGCCATAAATTATACGTACGTATGTTAAAATCAGAGAGTAAATGTGTTAATAAACACACAAAAGGGATGTGTACTAAAATATGCACTATGGCAAGCGGCTCCAACCAGACACACTAAATAATAAATCATAATGAGAGGCAGTCATAAAGCGCCTCGTTTTTAGCACTGTCAAATTTCAAACGTAAGCTATTTTCTCTGTAGGCTAACAACAAGTCTAAACGACTTTGTCTAGACGAATATACCTATCGTAATTTGTCGTAAATTCAGCGATTTTTCCACTTCACTGTCACTCGTGTTACTCACCGATATGTGTGGCCAATACAATAGTTAGGACTTTACCAGCACGTCAGCAAGTACAGCAAGTCCACGGCTGGACATGAGAATCCCATTTTATAGCAGAGTTGCCTGAATCGTCACGCTTACCCAGTACCATGATGCTGCTGTTCGTCGACGGTCTTGGCTCCTTTATGTAAGATCTTTCTCATTATCCATAGGCTGCTCATAGAAACCCAAGGAACGAAACGGATTACATTACGCTGCCGCCACGTGGTACATTATTCTTATAAATTGTATATAATTAGTAAATGGGTTATTAAGATTGGCGTGTGGTAGCCACGAATAAAAAGTCATAACCTAGTTCCTTCAAGTGATTCGGATAAATGGACTGTGCAAAATGTCATGAATATGTCACGGCCTCCGAAAGATAAATAAATTATACTAGATAGATAACTAAACTTAATCATCTTCAATCATAATCAGCTTGACAGATAACCATAGCAAATTAAAAAAAAATCTCCATAATAAGGATCAGTTCCATTTCCAACTGAGGACTAATTAATTATTAATGCTGAATAATAATCTGATGTTCTCATACCATGCATTTTTTTCTATGTTAATATCCGAAACATTTGAAGATTGTTTTATTCCAATATTTAAAATGTCTCCACCTCATATTTACTGAATTTGAAACCTCAGCCCGCTGAGCACACATGCTTTTTCCTTCAATAAATAACTCTAACGTAGATACATGACTTTGTTTTTCCTTTGAAACTAAATGCAGAAGGTTCACATAAATTGACATAAAAAATTAAGCAAATGTAGCACTAAATAGTTTGGATTCGCGACGGTATTTCAATTGGGGTGACAAATTGACAGTTTTATTGTAACATATTATCACCTGAATAAAGCTGTCAGGAACAGATGAAATGGAAGTAAGGCAATATTTGTTGGGAAATAAAAACTAAATGAACAGGAAAAAACAAAACGGGACCAGCGAGGCATATTACATATAATGTGCCGTATAACGGATAGATACACTGTTCAAACTATGAATATTAGTACGCGACGTGTGGCATAAATGGCGTTTTATGTCAGTAATGACAAAAAATGGTTCGTCACACAATGAAATTAAATAAATTTAATCTTATGAATAAAGTAAAGTTAAAAAGTAAAGTTACAGCCTATATACGTCCCACTGCTGGGCTCAGGCCTCCCCCTCATTTCTGAGAGGGTTTAGGGCTAGGAAGTGTCCGCCGCGCTGCCCAAATGCGTGTTGACGAACTTCACATGTCTTCGAAATATTTTTTTTCTTATTCCTCAGACATGCAGGTTTCCTCACGATGTTTTCCTTCACCGCCGAGCACGTGGTAAATCAGCACTTAAAATTGCAATTAACAATTTCATTGGTGCCGGCGGGGATCGAACCCGGGTTACTCGCGTTCTGTTATATTTACAGCGAGCGTTAACCACTGAGCTACCACGGCTATGAATAAAGAATGTTTTCTAAATGACTTATAAAATATTGTGTCCCATATCATCCCGGTGGCTGTCGTAAGAAGCGACAGAGGGGAACAAATTAGTAGATAGATGGACAGCAGTGTCTTCCTAATAACGTAACTAAAATGGAAAACTGCAGTTGCCACTCCGCTTGCCAAGCATGGCAACTATGGAAAATATTTCCCCTATGAGGCAATCTGTGGGGGAGGCCTATATCCAACAGTGGACTTTAATAGTCTGTAACGGTAAGGGTATGTTGAGGCGCGTGGTGACGGTGTAATAAAACCATCAGCCATCACCCCATTAGATCTCGTAGATGTTATAAGAACGATAATAGGGAACGACAAAACAATGTTATGGCTGCCGATAGATGGCATTATAACTATTTTTTTTTACGACAGAA